TCGATTTCTTCGATACAAAAGTCATACTTCTCAATTTAGTAATAGACCAATTGATAATAGTAACGTTACAATTAGAAAATGATATTATATTCATTAAAACCAAAAAGAATGCTAAGTATATATTAAAGAAGTTGACTGTTCAAAAAAAAAAAAAAATTATTAAAGTTTCACAACGTTTATGTTAAGTATTTATAAAATCAAACTATATACATGTTTGTTACCACATGGCCACTTCCACTTAAACTTCATTAAAAATTATATTTTATGTTATAAAATATCTGGAATATCTAGAGATGATACTGTTAAAGAAATGATCTATCTCTAATCCCTCTTCGATACGCCACTGCCTTGTAATTTGAAATCATTATTCAATCAGATCTGTTGAAATTAAAAAATCTATATTAAAATGAGAAATAACGAAACCAAACAAAACAAAAAAACAGTTAAATAGTCAGTTAACAGTTAAATAGGAAATTCATAAATAATAACACTAAATTGTTGAATACAGGCGAAATTAAAATTCATAAATAATAACACTAAATTGTTGAATACAGGCGGAATTAAAAATGCCCTTCAAAAAAGGAAAAAATGTTAAACAAACAAAAATTACTGATACGATGGGAATTAAGACCAAAAAAGCACAGGCTAGTCCTAAACTAAAGCAGGATATAAATTTGCAAGAAAAGTAAGTTAAAGTGAATTAATAATAAGTAGAATATTAAGTAGAGAAATGATTGATTATTTAGCCATTAAAAAATTTATGTATGTGCATTATAGCGTTACCGATAAAAAGATATTAGAAGAAAAGATCCTGGGACTAAAGAGGTATTTAAGTTATTTAAATAAATAAATTATTTTATTAAAACGGAATTTTTTATAAATATAGTATTATATCAAATTTTGATGCTAACAACAAAGAAACAAATGAAAAAGTGCGCAACCTTCCAGTCAGTTTTGAAACGTTTAAAAGGTTAACTTTTCACAATGATGTTATTGCTAACATTTGCCAAAGCATAAAGGAGTTGGAGTATGAGTTGCCAATTTCAAATATATCAAAAGAAGAATTATTTGATAATAATAAATTACTTCGGAGTTACTACAAAACATTTTACATGCAAACGGTTATTCGGACAATATTTCCATTGAAAATAAAACCATGTCCAGGACGTTTTAAGGACGATATTTTGAAATATCCAGAAATTACGTCAGATCATGAAGGTAAATAAAAATATTTTGTCACAAACCTTACTATTAAGTAATATTTATTTTAGAGCCTACAGTAAGTAATAGAGATGTTATAAATGCTAATACGAAGGAACATTTAAATAAGAAAACAAAATTAGGAAACAGCAAAAAAGGTAAAAATATGGAAAAATGTTCATTAGGTGAGTTCTACTTGATTAATTGTATTACTTAGTACTAAAAAATCTAAAATTTTCCAGCATTAGAAATTAAGGCAGCGAAAGATGTAACGGTAGTGGAACGAATTGATCATGGTAAGAAGAATAAATATTCTTTTTGTGATTTACCTTATTTAACTGATAAAATTGATTGTATTAAATTTTATTTATTTTCAAAACATTTATATTTTTTATTATTACAAATTTAAGCTGTTGCAGATAATGCTGTCGAGAAATCTATGATACATCAACAACCACATAAAAGACAGTCGGGAATAGAAATAATATCAATAGAAATGATTGTGCCACCAAATATTGAAAATGAAATAACATTGGATGAACAATCGCCAGTCATACCTGAAGAAAACATGGAAATATTCAATAAGTTGTTCGATCCAATTCCTTTGGTAATTGAAATGAACTTATAATGAATAAATTTATATAATTTTACTAATTCTTTTTTTAGAAATGTACTTTATCCTATGTACTTCGCTTTTCTTTTGGTCCAAAACAATCTGTTCTGCGCACATTGATGCATATATCGTTCGAAGATTTCTGCAAGTTCACAAATATTTATCAATTGTCTAATATTTATAATGATAAACTAAAACTATTCAAAATTTATGAATCCACGATTAAAAAAGAAATATGGCCGTTTAATTTATATATGCGCATAAGTGATATTTTCCTTTATTTACTGTTAAATGATGTAAAGCTTGATTTAAGTGATTTACAACATATATCACCAAAGTTTTTACATTGGAGTGATCTTGCAGTGAATACTAATTTTAATGAAATTGTACAAGATTATTTTAATATGAATGGAAAGCGCATTGATGGCGATGAACAGCTACAAATTTCTCGTGAAAGTTTTTATACTCGTTGCTGGAATGACGACGGTTGGATATGGAAAATACCCAAAATAACTAATAATTCGATCCAAGAGATGTTAATTAAAGTTACTAAAGGCAAGTGATTAAAAGTTAAAAATTTATTACTAATGCGGGATTATTCAGAATTTCGTTATTTATTTTTATAGCTTTTTAATATGGCATAAGTATTTGAATAATATGTTCTCTATTTTGGTTCAATATCATTTTGCTCTGTTTGTAGCAGTAGCATAATTTTAGAATTTAATACTTCTATGTTTTCTTGCTCTAATACATTTAATTCTACCTATAAATGCTTTTCGTGAGTTGCCAATTTAATTAATTATAGTTAGCCTATAATGTTCGTTTGATATTCTATATAGCCTTTTTTTCATACACAATGAGTATTAGCTTCAAAATTTAACCTTTTTCTTGAGAATTAAATTAAATATAATTAAAAACACAATTGTAAATTAACCTTGTGATGATGTTAAGAATTAAGAATCGGTATTTTATGCCGCAGAGCTTTCTGTTGTCTTAGTTTCAATGCGGCTTAAGCGTGAAATTAAATGCGAAAAAAAAAAATTTCAAATCCTCCTTAAAAATAAAACGAAATTACTTTTCGAGCCTAGTATATTTTTCCAAGTATTGTTTTCAATGCATAATCAAGACTTCAATTATATGTATACTTAAACCATTAGCATTATCTGATGAAGATGCAGAACAGTTGACTGTTGAGAAGAAAAATGTAAAGGGCTCATATATATCACTGAAAAAGTGTAAGTAAGATATATGTATATAAATATCTCTTATAAAAACATTCTTTTTGGTTTTAATCAAAGTCTAAATATATTTGTTACTTAAGCTTAAACAAAAGCAATCAATATAGTTTTTAGTAGATATTTACACTAAAGGTTTTCAGATTGAACTCACTTTTTCTTTATTCATATGTTTTTTGTAAAACTATCACTTTACCAGTATTGTCAAAAGAGTAAAGGTTATGCACACAGTACCTCTTTTAGAAACCGATTCAATTCATTAACTTTTTAAACAGGAGATAAGAAAGTAACTGAATAACTGGGTAAGGTAACACAAACTTACAACTGAACAATCACACTGACATTAACATGGCAATCAAATATTTATAAATCAGTGTTATACATTCTTTCACAACTAAAACAAAAGACAGATGGTAAACTATTACAACCTGTACATTAACGATAATCAACTCGAGCTCTCCTAACAGAAAACTTACTAAGACTCTCCTTTAAAATGATTAACAAAGTATAATTACATTTAGTGCATTAACAAGTCATTCTCTCTTAAAAGCACACGTAGATGAGTTGGAATGAGGACGGTAATTGCAGAAAAAGCAACATACCTGGATTAAACTTTATGCTGCAATCTAGAGCAATGTTTTTCAACTCAAACCGGCCGGTAAAATATTCATTCCAATTTGCAATCTTCAGTACTTATATATTCGCAAAAAATAAGACCAAAATACAATATTTCACGAACCGGTATTTAAGAAACTCTGATCCAAAAACTTTGCCACAATCCTTGTATTCATAGTTTAATCAAAACATTTATGCTAACCATACAGAAAATCAGGAAGACCTCACGATAGTGACGAAACAATTTATTTTTATTTTATATACCATAAATTACTACTGCGATAAATAACTGATTT